CCACCTCGAGCCCAATAGGCTGTGGAGAGAGTGGGCGGGTCCAGTTAGGTCAAGCATTTGGAGCCGCCGGACCTTTCCAATACACTGCCATTAACCACACCTGTTGCCGGTAACTAGTGAGCTGAGTCGAACTGGGGGGCCAGGAGCATGAGGTTTCCATATCAGCTGCATTTATTTTCCCCCAACATAAATCTACAAAATTCCGCATAGTTCTAGGATCTGTCCCAAGAACCTAGAACTATGCGGATCTAGGATCTCGGGACAGTTCCCACCCTCCTGCGTTGCCTACACACAGGCTGCCCCTGAGGAGGAATCGCTTAGCGAGGCCGGATCTGAAATGGTTACCCTGAACTCGGTCAGGAACCACACCGAGGGGCAGCATGCCCTCAGCCCTCTCATCGGTAGACAGAAGCTAGGCTGGAGAAGAAGCGGCCTTTTCAGCTTCAGGCTGGAATGGGCCGAGCTGGGAATCCATTCCACATTTCTCACCCCCAGTCGTCTGCTCAGTCCCGCTCTCCAGCAAGCTCTCAGCCGAGGTAATGGGCACTCGGGGCTGCGGAATGGCAGAGCTAGAGAACAGGATTTAACTATTACCCTTGGCTTTGCCAAATTTAACATTTTGAAATTCCATTCCACAAAGTGTATTGCGTGTCTGGGTACAAGGCAGTGTAGTGAGCATCGTGAGAAATCCAAGACGAATCCTAAGCCGTCGCTGCCCTTAAGGAGATTACAAGCATGCTATAATTACATACAGAGCTGTATCTCTAAGAACCCGACCACAGTTTTTCTCTGTCTGGTTTTGGGGGCTTTGCTTGGGTTTTGCTGGAGCTATAGTTATCGCCAGATAGCTCAGAAAAACGAAAAGTTAAAACAAGGGATAGAGAAAAGAGAGGAAAAACAAACTTAGAATTGCCTAAAGCACTGTCTCTTCTGTAGGTAAAAGCACCATACTTTGGAGGGAAATGGAAATATTAGAAAAAAGATATGGTCTCTATTTGCAGAAGTTTTCAGCACACTGCTGTCAGAAAAATAGTTGAAGAAAAGTTTTTAAAAAAAAAAAATCCAGAAATGAGAAGCTTAACCTGATTTAAGATTTAATTCCAATTAAAGTAGTGTTTATATAATTTAAGAATGCTGTATATACTTATCCTGTATACTGAATATACTTTCATAAGATGAGTGTGTGGATTCCAATTTTATATACAAGTTATGGTAATGGGAAACAAGATACATTAAGTAGTATAGATGAACAAGATATTGAATTTATGAAGAAGAAATATAAGGATCTGTAGTAGGGGCTATTTAAGGTAGTCCACTAGAAATATAGAACTATTAATTCAAAGTCAATAGATACTATACTATATAACTTAATTAAGCTGAGATTAAACAAACTGAGGATAACACTTGCAACTGTCCCTGAGATTTGAAATGTCTTTACAGCATCAGGGATAAGGAAAAGTCCACATTTTCTTTTTTATTTTGATAGATGGTACAATCAGGTTGAAAGTGTATATCTCACATTATTTTGCCAAGATACATCCATAAGGTTTATTTTTTGCTTATTTATATAAAACATGCTGTGTTGAAATAATGTTCTGCTTAATTGTTATCAAATTATCAATGATTTACATACTTTAATGTTCAGTTTTATACAGTATTTGCTACCAAGTGATGACCAAGTTATGAATGTTTTTTAATATATTATTAAAACCAAAAGAAGTAGAAATATAAGATGCTTTGGGGTGTCTCTTTAGGTGTAAAATATACAATAATTTGAAAGGTAGTTAAGTCTGTAATTGCAGTTTATCTAACTCCTAAAGTAAATGCATAATTTATAAATAGCTTTTAAAGGAAAGCATATATCTTCTCTCCAAAACTCATTATATGGTTAAAAAAAAAAAAGCAGATACATTAAATTCAGATTCAGTACAAGTTTACAAAAGCAGTCTGAGTTATATTATTTTTGAATTCATTTTAATTTTCCCACTCCACATCCCATTCCAAAGCTTCCCAAGAACACTAAAAGTCTGACTCTTGTAGAATTCTTCCCCTCACACACACCTCAGCCAGGCTGCTAAAGTCCTCACCCCACGTAATCTTGCCAATGTTGCTTTAAAACACAATAAACATTAACAAGAGACTGTGTATGACATTTTTAGAATAATAGCTATATTTATAGCATTAAATCAAGACGATGCTTCTTACCACGAAACAATTTTGCATAGACGCATAAGATACCCTGAAAGAAAACAGGTTACTATTTTCAGAGTAAAATTACTGTCATCCCAACTCTTAAAAAAAAAAAAAAAAAAACTGTCAGCAACTATTAGGCATTCTGCGGTTGTCACTTGGAGCACACGAATGTTGTGAATGTTTTTGCGGGCACACGCTATTATTATAAGGCTTTCTCAGCAAAAAGGAAAATAGGACGAGCCTGCCAAGAGAGGCCAATCTAATCAGGATTTGCAGAAATCACAAGTCGGAATTTGCAGATCCAAGAATTTTTTCCAGAGTAAACACTCTATCCAAAAACAAAACAAGGCGTAACCAAACAGCCTGCGCCCCTTTTCGCCAAAGTTCTCCGGCAAATTTCACTTACTTATTCCGAGAGGCACAAACATGCCTAAGAGCCAGAGTGAAGTGGCAGCAATCGGCTGGGTTCAGAATACAGTTCAAGACCCCTTTTAGAAAGTATTCAAGTAGATCAGCGAACCTGGAAAAGGAAGACTTTTTCTCTTTGTTACTCTGATCTACTTGAATACTTTCTAAAAGGGGTCTTGAACTGTATTCAAGTAGAT